AAATAAAATTCAAAACTGTTTAAATTATCTGTCTAACTAGGGAGATGCTTTCAAATAACTTGGTTATAATGCAAAGATGAAGGCTTAAAATAAATAACTTTTGAAACAGGATTAATTATTCAATACTTTAAGTGTATCTGTATTTTTCATCTCAATAATTGAATCTGAAATTAAGAAAATTTTCAATATTAGGTTTGTGTGATGTCTCTAGAGTTCTATTATATCTCTACATAAAAAAAGACCTCAAAATTATAAAGAAATTCTGAAAAGACTCTAATAACATAAAATGACGACCAGTGTGTCCCAAACCAAATATTCTGACTGAAGTGCACCATTACACCCCCCCAAACCAACCCCAGCAACACAAGTTTCACCAATGTGAAAAGGCTGACTGACAAGCTGCTTGATAATTGGAGAAATGCCCATTCCAACATCCCCAGGAATGAGACACATCCTTTACAGCCAGCCAATTATCAAAGCCAGCCACTGTGCTCACAGCAGGAAATGACATCAGCAATACATGTCATTTGAAGCACTGTGTCAGAGAAAATCAGCCTGATACCAATTTGAATGCAAACACCCGTTAAGCAGCAGAGAGGAAGAGATAGCCAGGTGAAATCTGAGCACAGCCGCCAAACAATCCTCCAATAAACTACTAAAGGGAATTCTAAGTGAGATTTTAGCCTTTAAAAAGTGTCCTGGGCTGTTTGGCATTTGCAGATTTCCCAAAGAGAAGTAAAAAAGCAGAGCATGGCTCTTGTTCTCCGCCTCATCTTAAGGGCTAAGATGGAGCTGGAGTCATGCTGAGCTCAAAGGGAGGCACAGGCTTCCTCTAACATTTTTCCTTTAGAACCGCAGTCAGACATGATGCGGTTCAGGCAAATGTGAAGGACAGCCATGGCTTGACATGGAAGAAAAAAAAAAGGTAAACAATAAAAGAAAGAGAGACAGAACCACTGATACCTTCCAAGACTGTCAACCATGCGGAGGTATGAGAGTACCCGATAGAATTGCCCGCCAAGCACGTATACTCCCCAGCGTCATCAAAAGAGACATTTCTCAGATGAAGGATTTCCATTTCCTTGTCCGTGGTGTTAACGCCAGCAGTCTAGAAAATAAAGGAAGTAGACCCAAAAGGCCCGAGAGGGAAACAGGGGGACCATGAGTTTAGGATTCTGGAGGAGAAGAGGACAGAGGAGCGTTCTCCTCCTGGTAAACACAAGGACCATCTATCTAAAAAGGTAAACACCCAGAGACCCAACAGGGGGCTCCGTCAGGAAGAGCCCTCCAGTATCTGTTAGTGGAAAAAGATTGTTAGACTGAACCTGCACTGCTGAACCTCACTCTGGGCCCAAACCATCACCACTTAAAATACCTCAGTCTCATCTCTGCATGCAAGAGATGGGCATGGAGGATTCCGCAGCAGAACAGGACACACTTAGGACCAAAACTCTGACAAAAGACAGCAGACACATACAAACAAGGGGAGCAGAAACACAGAGGGATGATAAACAGGGGGAGAAACAGGAGGGGGGGGGGCATGGGAAGATGGCTTTAAAGGGCAAGGAAGCAGGAATAAACGGAGAAGGCAGGAGAGCCCCTTATTAGGAGGGCACAGCGCAGGCATGGGGCAGGAATGAGAGCGGGTTCAACATCAACCTGAGACTAAACACTTTCAACTGTTCTGCTGGGAATTTTCCATAGCGTCATTTACAGTCAGGATCACTGAGGAGACGGGGAGGGGAGAACGGATGGAGGGAGGAGAGAAACAGCTGAGCTTGTTTCAGGTTTAAAGCTTTTTTTTTTTTTTGGTTTTGTTTTCCAGGTGGTCCTAGAAACGCCTCCCGCCTGTTGTCCCCCGCACTGCTGCGTGGTGCTGGTGGTTACCTGCAGGGTCATATTTGACGACAGTCAGCCAGGCCGACTGATTGGCCTCTCCTATATAATTGGACACTTTACATATATACTCTCCGCTCTCCTCCTCAGTCACATTGTAGAGGGTGAGCACCTGAGCGTCCGAGCTATTGACCCCCGAATGCTAGAAATAAAAACAAGTCAGGTGCAGCAGAGGAAGAAAAAAAAAAAAATCAAAACTATATACAAAACTAAAAGCACAAAAACAGAATAATTCAGAAACAAACCATCAACAACTACAAAAATACAGATTTTACTGGAAGTTCTGGGTCAGAGGTGGGTAGAGAAACCAAACATTGTGCTCAACTATGTAATATTACAT